CTTTCCCTGTAATTCTGTGCATGCCCATATACTGTACAGAGCTTTTTACCTCTTGGGAAGGAGGAAAAGTTATGCCATGTATCACCAGATCTTTTCTTCTGGGTGATTTTCCCCCCACACACCTCCTTGGAATTTATCATACATTGCCCTGCACATTCTGGAGGGCCGCACTGCCAGGTGAGAGAGCAGGGAGTGTGTGTGGGACATACCCATTCATTCCAATCCACAAATTTTGGGGTAAAGTTGCAACACACACTCACCAGAGTTTCATTCATCAAGTAGTCATTTAGCTTTCTCTCTCTCTCTCTGGGTCCTGAAGCTACAGTTTGGTGTAGTGGTTAAGTGTGCAGACTCTAATCTGGGAGAACCGGGTTTGAGTCCCCTCTCCTCCACTTGCACCTGGCTGGATGACCTTGGGCAAGCCGCAGTTCTGATAAGAGCTGTTCTTGAAAAAGAGCAGTTTCTGTCAAGAGCTCTCTCAGCCCCACCTACCTCACAGGGTGTCTGTTGTGGGGAGGGGAAGGGAAAAGAATTTGTAAGCCGCTCTGAGACACTTTTGGGTAGTGAAGGGTGGGGTATAAATCCAATCTCTTTTCTTCTTCTTCTTCATCTTAACCCCTCTGGAAATTTTCATTAAAAAAAATAAATCTGAAGCAGGCAGAGAGTTGGGCAGCAGCCAAGATCCTTCACATGTGGGTCCAAAGCATTGGGTGTAACACAGGTATGCAAATTGAGCACAAGCAACAATTGTGGCATGTTAAAGAGCAGCAGGTTTATCATAGTAGAAGTTTTCATGAGTCTTGAAAGCATTTGCTCAATTGGTCAGTTAGTCTTAAGATTCTATGTTGGTTTCGCTGTAGCACCTTTGGCAGCCTCAGCAGCCTTTTATACTTAGGAGCCAAACTGCATCAAAATTCCAAGCAAGAGATCAATGAAGAGCCAGTATGAGAAAGCCCTGTTGTCAAACTTCTATATCTCACACACACATTTATATATTAAATTTGTTAATTGCCCCAGTTTTTTAATTGCCCAATTACTCTGGGCAATGTACATCATTCCTAAAAACATCAAGATAAAATAATTAAAACAATAACATAACACACACATAACGGTACTGATAAATGACATGCCCATAAAGTTTCTGGAGCCCATACACTGGTTGTCCTTTATTAGGAGGTATCACTCATGAAATCTCACAATAAGTAATACATACACACGGGAGCACCTTGCATGGTTGTTTTAGTGCCCTGGCATAAATCTGGGCATGGTTTGCACTTGGATTATTAGCACTGGTTTGCCTCTATCCTTTCCCTTTCTGCAGAACATCTCAAAGAAGCCCGTTTGTCCCATAAAAATCTCTGCCTGCCATTCCCTTCCTATATTGACTGTTCCAGTCCCTTGACTTAAACAGCTCCGTTTCTTGTTTTAGAGAGCCGTGTTTGTGCAATCTGTACTGAGCCGCATTTGTGCAATCTGGAGCCGTAGCTTGCAGACCCCTGCCGTGTGGCGTGTTACACACACAGGCAACCTCCACCACACCCCTGGTGGTTCCCGCTAGCTGGCACCCTCCCCAATCCCTCCTACTTCCTCTTCATTTTTGTGATGCTTGCACAGAAGGATTCTCTGACCCATTCTATTTCCTGTCTCCAGTCTCCATTTTCACGTGTAAATTATATAGCTCTGAGCAGGGGGTGCCTGTGTGTCATTTTGAGGTTTTGCTGGTGCTGGGAAGGGAAGGGAGGGAGAAGCACCCCCTCATGCTTCAAGGAAGCACAGCCCTGTCCTGTGTCTGCTATCCAGGGCAGCCCAGAGAGCATCTGGGCCTGTACAATTCCTGAGGGTTTTTTTTTCTTCTGATGCTCTCTTCTGGGCCCCTCCACCTGGGTTGGTGGGGGTTATCTGTGTGTGTAACATGCCACACGGCAGGGGTCTGCAACCTACGGCTCCAGAGCCAAATGTGGCTCAGTGCAGATTGCACAAACATCACTCTCTAAAACAAAATACTGAACTAGGTGCCCAGCAGTACAGCTGGCAGCACTAACAGGGCACACCTGTGTGCCTGACAACAGCTGGGCTGCCTGTCCTTGGGCACCTGGGTCCCTAATTGCAGGTGCCATCAATGCAGAGGGCGGGGAGAGTGCAAACAGCCCGATGGGACTGTTGTTCTGGCAGGCCTCCTCGAGCAGTCCGCTTATTCCTCCAGGACTCACTTTACCACAACACTGACTTGGAAAACAGAACTGCTGCTGGGTCTCTCGTGACGTGTGCAGGTGTCTGCTCCCAGGAGGTGCACCACTTTTGGAGCCGTGCACCCCAAAGGTCACAAACTGTGATGTAACCAGGCATTTCCACACCACAGGTCTCCATTCTACAATCCTTCCTTGGAACCTGGCACCATACAATTTTAAGAAACAAAAGGGGGAGGGAGGGGGATATTATGTGTGAATAGTAAATGACAGTAATACAAGTATTGAGCTGGAATCACTCCTGAAGTCTTTGCAGAGTGATTAGTAATATCTGGAGAGGATCCTCTCCTCTCCATGCCAGCAGCCTTCTGCCATCAGCTGAACGTACGTTGGGGCAACGTGGAAATGTGTCTGCATCTTGAAACAGAGCAGAGTGGGTCAAAGGGACCGACTCTTCATATGAAACCTGTGGGGCATGTTCCTTTGCCTGCCGTGCTGTCCCAACAGACTGCCTGAGCAAGCAAATAACTCGTCTTTCACCGACTATCAGCTAGCCAGTATTTTATTGGTCTGATCAGTAGCTGTGTCCTGCTAAGGTCAAGTGAGGTCTGTGACTGGATCTCCCAATGTGATTCCCCCCCCCCCTTAAACCAGCCACAGGAGAAGGGATTTGGATATGGTGTATGGTGTTGTTGTTGTTCAGTCGCACAGTTGAGTCCGACTCTTCACAACCCCATGGACAAGATCTCGCCAGGCCTTCCTGTTTTCCGACGTCCTCTGAGGTTTGCTCAATTTCATGTTCGTTGCATCTATGACACTGTCTAACCATCTCATCCTTTGCCGTCCCCGTCTTCTTTGACCTTCAATCTTTCTCAGCATCAGGGTTTTCTCCAGTGAGTGCTCCCTTCTCATTTGGTGGCCAAAGTATTGGAGCTTCAGTTTCATTATCTGGCCTTCCAGGGAACAGTCAGGGTTGATTTCTTTTAGGATTGACTGATTTGATCTTCTTGCAGTCCAAGGGACTCTCAAGAGTCTTCTCCAGCACCATAGTTCAAAAGAATCTATTCTTCGGCGCTCGGCCTTCCTTATAGTCCAACTCTCGCAGCCATACATGACTACTGGGAATACCATTGCTTTGACCATGCGGACTTTTGTTGGCAGGGTGATGTCTCTACTTTTTATCATGCTGTTTAGGTGCATGGTGAGGGAGGGGTAATTCCTTCCATTGTGCCTTTTTCCCGGCCAGCCCATGAAGCAGAGTCAGATTGTTGGTTTCTCAAGGTCAATATTGCCTGCTTGGGCTGACAGGCCGCTCTCTGGGGTCTGCGTCAGAGGTCTTTCACATCACCTCCTCCTTTTTTCAACTGGAGAAGCTGGGGACTGAACTGGACCTCTTCTGCATGCAAAGCAGATGCTCTACCGCTGAGCCACAGCCCCTCCCCCAAACACCCTCCTTTCCCCAGGTTGTAGTGAATCCCAGTAAGGAAAGAGAACAATGGGGTGCTTGTCCTGATTGCAGCTGGGGGAGGGGACATTAAGATCTGGAAAACAGTACAGGGGAAAGAGCCCAGCACCCTGGCTCCAATCCAAATGGAATCCCTTCCGGCTGTTTTTAGGGTCAAAGCCATCAGGGAGTGCAAGTTTGAATGTCCAGTGTAACATTCAGTTTGGCCATTATTCAACAACTGGGGTTATATGTGGGACCGAAGCATTCTGCTGGGCTCCACCAGCCTCACATTAGTCTCCACCCCAGCCCTCCAGGTTCTTCTCTCAGCTTGCCAGCCCCTGCTCCCTTACCCCCCACCCCGCCCTGCCCCACTCCATCCCATCCTCTTCTGATTCTTCCCAAGCTCCACCTCTGCTGGTTTCCGCTGTGGCCCTTCTCAAGTGGCCCACAGCTCTGGGAATCCAAAGTTGGCCAGTTGGCGCTTGCATTGCTCTGCCAAGAATAATGACATGGTTGGCCTTCATCTAGGAAGAATGCTAAACATCTAATAATAATGTAGATAATAATAAACACTTAAGGACTCCTGGCTTTGCAACAGCGCATGGATGAGTCACAGCAATTGTGGGTAAATTTAAAAGCAGGAAGGGAGTCGTGAGTCAGATGGAGTTGCAGGGCCCGCTGAACGTGCCGTGTCAAGCGGTGTCGTGCGAGGGTGTCTCAACAGGGGGCACTGTCCCCTCTGAGTCACTGATCATTCCTGCACACTGCGAAAGGACACTGCAAATCTACAGGCAGGAGCCTGGATGACTGGGTGGGCTTTCTTTTCTGGTTAAGTCTCAGTGAGCTGAAATGTAGGAAGTCGTGCGCTGTATGGGAGGACGCCATAATGGCTGTTTTCTACACTTGGCAGGATCTAATGGAAAAGCATTTCCTGACCTTGTACTACTTCAAACCACAGGTTGAGAGGTGCTGTATTTAAATTCCTGCTCCACTACGAAGCTCCTTATTTGGCTTTTTGTATCATGCCTAACCTGCCTTGCCCTGACTTGGATATCCCAGGATATCACATTAG